TTTTGATAAATAATAATAATAATTTTTTTTTTTTTTTTTAAAAAAAAAAAAAAAATTATTAAAAAAGTGGTTTGGGTGGGAAAAAAAAAAAACAAATATCCATTTAATTAATTTTCATTCTGAATAAAAAAAATATCAAAAAATACCGATCATTTTTAGTGAGCATAAAAAGAGATCTGGAGAATATGTAAATGGTATTTAGGAAGTTAAAATTTTTGTTTGCAATGATCATTTTTTTTTGTTTTTGTTTTTGTTTTTGTTGTTTTTAAACAAATTTTTCTAAAAAAAAAAAAATAAATAAAATAAAAGACAAGCAACGTATGCCTTGGACCGCGAAATTGGCTCGACAACTTTATCATGAACGTATTGCTGAACTGAAATCATTAATAACTTCAGATGAACAAAAATTTCGGTAAATTCCGATAACATTTTTTTATATTGATCTTTTAATTTAAAAGAAAAAAAATTAGTTTCATTTCATTTTCTATTGAAAAAAAAAGGAAACTTGTAACCGAAATCGATGAAATTAAATCGGGACAATGGGATAATAAATTTGCTGAGATGATAAAAGAAGAACAAAAAAAGAAAGATCAAGAAAAGAAAGCAGCAGGTGAAAGTGTCTCTAAAATATCAACGGTGGAACCTAAAGGGTCAACTGATTCTTCGATTTCCGATGTAAATCTTAAGGTTGAACCTTCAGTAGCTGAGAAGATTCTTCAACCTGTAGTGAAAATTGACAAGAATGTTACAACCGCCTCAATAATAGAAAAGGAAACAATTATTAAAAATGTAGAACCACAATTAACAAGAGTCAAAACTAAACCAACTGAAATGGTTCCAAATGTAGAAGATATGAAAATTGATGTGGTCCCTTCTTTGAAGTCATCATCAAGACCTACTGAAGTTAATGATGATGTGCTACAACCTCAAACACCATCAACACCACTTTCAGATCTAAATGATAACTTGATTATCGTTCCCTCAAAGGGTCAAAATGTTCAACAAGTACCAACAATTGTTGTAAGTACTGAAGGTGATAAATTACGAAGAGGCAATGTTGATCAGCTTCTTGTGGAAGATGATGTTATGATGGATATTGATGAGAAACTTACACAAAAGTCTATGGATGCATCCTCATCGGTTCCTACACAAGAATCAATATTAGAAACAGATGTTTCTAAAGTTAACCAAGCTAAAAAAATAACCGTATCTCCAAATACAGAATCTGTCAATGTAACAGATACTCCACAAACTATCGATTGTGAAGTTGCAATGGACATTGATGAACCTAAAGTAGAATTTATAGCAACAGAAGATGCTATCAAAAGTCCTTCAAAGGTTCACCTTTCTGAGATTAATGTAACTTCACCAACCTCTATTGAAGAAATAGAAGTAAATATTAATCAAGAACATATATCTAAAGAACAGTATGAATCGAAAGGTCAACCTCATAAAATTGCAAAGGAAAAAATTGAAAGTAAAGAGATTATTGTAGCGAAAGGCAAGGAACCAGAAATTTCTGAGACTAAATTAAAACAATCAGTGGGTTCAATAAAGGAAGAATTTTCACCTTATATTATAGAAAGTTCATTCACTGAACAAGTAACCAAGTCGGATAAAAAGGAAGATATCTCAGTAGAAGAGGATGATGATGAGGAAGATGTGCGTATGGTAGATTTATCAACCCTTCCCGAAGAAAATGAGGATGACGAAAAATATAGTTCGATAGGAAAGGTCACCCCTACACCTTTGATAGAACTCAAGGAACCTTTAACTTCTGGTGCTGGTTTGGCGTCTACTTCACCAGTTCCTATCGTTTCGACAACTCCTTCTAATGCAGCACCTTCGCCTTCTGGGGATCGTAAGCAATTAATTATTTGGAGTCGCAATACTTTTAAAGATATATTCAATTTCTTATATAACACTTAAATTTTTAGTCGTCCCTTCAACTCCTCCCCCTCTTGATACAACACCAAGCGGAGAAACTCCAGGTAAAATAAGTAATATTTTATAGTGCTTATTTTTTTAACACGTTTTTGCTTTCAAATTTGTTTATAAATTTTTATTTTTAGATGATAAGAAACTTAAGACATGGCAGAAACTGGTTTCTATGATATTACTCGAAATTAGTAATCATCGGTTTGCTAGCGTTTTTCAAAACCCAATCAGGGATCAAGATGCACCTGGTTATTACGACATAGTAAAACAATCAATGGACTTAAGAACTTTGAAGAAACGTCTTCGCGAAGGGGTATCTTAATTTAGTAAATTCAAAATTTTTTTACAAGATCAATATTTAACCACTAGCTTTTTTTTTTTAAAAAAAAAAAAAATCAATTTAGGCTATCTATGATACCAATTTATTTCATCGTGATTTAATGTTAATGTTTATGAATGCCTCGGTGTTTAACAGAGAAGAAACAGATATCCACCAAATGGCGTTAGAAATGAAAGATCACGTCGAAACATTAATTGCGGAATTTAAAAGAAGTGAAGTTTCAGGAGGAGCGCATGAACCAGCTACACGAAGAAAGAGTATGGCCATAGACGGTATGAAACTACGGCGTCTTTAACATAAAAATTTCCATAAATTTTTTTTTTTTTTTTTATGTTAAAGTTGATAAGAATTTTTGATGGTGGGATCATGTCAACACTTATATGTATACTCAATTTGTTTCTCGTGATGGGTGCTTTTATTTTTTTTTTTTATATTATTATTATTATTATTTATATATAGGCAATGAAGCTGCTTTCTTCACAAGTGACAGAAGAAGTGAAAACGACAGAACTGTTGTAACAGGTTCTTCACGAAGTGGTAAATTCAAGAATGATACTGCGGATCAACGCCCGACAAAGAAGCCTAAAAGATTATCTATCTCTTTAAAAAAGTCCGATATCAACTGAAATTAATTAGATTTCTTATATTTATTGTTCGTCTAAATTCAAATTTTTACATTTTGCATTCTGTCTGAATTTGAATTTTTTTGGGGTAAGATTTTATCGTTTTTATTGTTTCATTCTAAAGGTCATCCTTTAGCCTAAGCAATCATGTATGAAAATTGTTTTTTTTTTCATTGCATTTTTATTTCTCATAATTTGTTCTGCAATATACAGTGAGATTTTAATGATTTATTGCAAGTATGCTGAAAATGCTCGAAATTTACTAACTCATCGTAATAATAATAAAAAAGAAAACCAACTCATTATTATAACCGAGATTCATAGAATCTCTAATTATAATACAAATTCTAATTGTTCTAATTTTAATTTTTCTATGGTTTAAAAGGAAATGTTCTTTTATTGAAATGTATTTGATTGATGTATTGCGGTATTTCCCAACTAATCCTATAACATCTACAATTCGCAAATCTTCCAAAGAAATCATTCCAAATATGAATCGCTACAAACAAAATAAAACATTTTCGTTAGAAGACCCATTGGAAAAAGAGAACAAAAAAAATTTAAATAAAATTCAAAAAAAACTATCAGACCGAATTAAAAGATTCTATTGGAAGTAGATTCTATTGGAAGTAGATCCTAAAAAGATATAAACATCGATAATTTACATTCAATTAAATTTCGATTTTTCGATTGTATCGACATCGGCAGACTTTATTTCTTTGTATTTTGACTTAAAAATTGTGAATTCATATTTAAATTAGCAACTTTTTTTTGCATTTGAGTTGCTCTAACGGAATCGTTATTCGTAAAAGCTGGAGGACGACCCAATCTTTGATGATTAACATTAACAACAGGCGAATCAACATCCATCACGAAATTACTATCATCAATAGTTATAGGATTAGGCAGGCTCCCTAACGGGATCATCTGTTGCACGCCGGACGATTGACCTGTCGATTGAATTATTTGCTGCTGCTGTTGTTGTTGTTGTTGTTGTATCAGAAAAGTAGCAGGTCGAAATTGAGGTGGTATAGATAAATAATTCGAGGACGATATTTGTTGTTGTTGTTGAGAATACTGCAGGGCCAACAACGATGTAAAAACGCTTGGATGATGGCGTTGTTGGAGTTGAGGCTTTTGTGCTGACGTTAAAAGATGCTGCTGGTACGCTGTCTGTATTTGAATTTGACCAGCAGAAGGTTGGTTCCTTTGTGATGTATTCACGAATTGTGGTACACCAAGAGTATTATAGGTTATGGTTGGACTTACTTGTGTTAACATATGAGAAACCTGTTGTAACTGAGGAGGTCGTGTTTGATGCGAACTTTGTAAATTTAAAACTGGTCTCATTAAATTTACATTCATGGTAGGATTGATTCTACCTGTATTTGTATGGGGTTGAACGATATGAGATCGATTTACTCGTGAAGTCGCAGCAGAATTATTTGATGTCATGCCCGTATTATTATTATACTGCGCCGTGACAGGAGCGGCAGGAGCATCTATAAATGAATGTCAATTAATAAACTACAAAGGTTGGTTTAAATTCGTTAATTTTACAAGAACCAAGTATACCGTCGTCATCGTTCACCATGTGTGTTAAACGAGGTATTGCATTATCAACGTGTTGTTCGACATGCTTCCATAACGATAAACTAGAATTGAACTTTTCTTTGCAGCCACCCCATTTACAACTATGAAGGACTTCTTGCCTTGTCTGATTCACCATAATTTTTTAATATAAAACGCGACAACGATAGAAAATATAAAAAAATTTGAGCTTGAATGGTTCAAAAAAAAAAAAATAAAATAAAATAAATGTTCGTGAGGAGCAAACTCTCACGCCTCACGCGACTTGAAGAAGGAAAAATAAAAATTTTTTTTGACTAAACCAAATTTGATCGAACAAATTTGGTTTTTCTGGTTGTCGATCGATCATCGTTGTGGTACAATAATCAACATCTATTATTTATGGATCAATTTTTGATCGTTACATAAGTAAATAAATAATCTATTTGATGAAATTATTGTTTTAATTTTTATTATGTGTAGTGAGAATTATGTATCTTTTTAAATCTTGAAATGTGTTTAAAGATGTATTATTGTAAATCTAACAAATAATTAGTTGCCTTATGAGGATCATAATCATATTTCTCCAAAGCGTCAACAGCTTGTTCTTTCGTGAATCCCATGTTAATAAATTGCTCTATTAAATCAGGATTAATATCCTTCTCACTTTCCTCATTCTTGGGAGAGGGTGATGATGTCGGCAATATTTCTTTTGGTGGAACAGGAGGGATGGAATAAGGTTGACGTGGAGAAAGACGTTCAATACTAGATGATGGTGCTGAATAAGTTCTGTGCCCTTGAATGGACGAGGACGTATTATTTATAGGTGAAGTTGAATAAGTATTTTGAGAAATTTGTAAATTGCCGAGTTTATTTGATAAAAGGTCGGGATTGCTATGAGTTGCTGAAGACCCCAATGTAAAAACCTCATTGGATAATTGAGATGGTAAAGGTACTACAGAAGGATGAAGAAGTGGTGATGGATATGACCTTGGAGGATTTGGGTTATTGACGACCATATCCTGATTAGCGGGAGCACCAAAAAAGTTGGGAGATCCGTTTACACCTCTATCCGCAACGGAAATGTTTTCGTTGGATGATATGGTTGGTACCGGTGACCCGATTACTTCTCTTAAAATTGAGATGTCATCTTGAATCGTGTTTGATGAGTTGGAAAGATTTGGAGGAGAAAGACTCTCCTCAAATTCCAAGTAAAACAAGGATTTCGCTGGTTTGGCCTAATTCAAATAAATGTTGGTCATATAAATTAGTATTTTTGATTATAGAGACTTGTAATAGAAGTGATTTTACCTCGTCTCCCTCCTCCTTCCTCATCTTCTCTAAAATATACAATGGTATATCATCCGAAGCGGATCGTACATGTACTTTCTGCTCATCTATACCATTTTCACTATTAATAGCGATTGTGTTATCTACGCTTTCGACCTGATGACTAGCTCTTCTTTGAGTATTATTAGCTGGAACCGGTGTTAAAATTCTTAAATCAGTATCCAAAAATCCAGGAGCTATTTTTCTAGCCTTTTCTTTTTGTATACGAATTCGTTCCTCTTGAAGTGCCTGTAATTTTTGCGCACGAAGTTGCGTTAATGTAGCATTATCGTGCCTTTGTTTTTCAGAATCTGCAATAATATGTCGTTCCAAATTGAAGTCATAATTTTGCTGTAAAAGAAATAAAAATTTAATTATCTCCATCAAATACGAGTTAATTTCTGTAAATATTAAGGTATAATTTCACCTGATTCGAATACTCACCACTTGAGGAAGGTCAAGATTAAAATCAGGAGGTAACGTTATCTAATAAAAGAAATCGTTAAAAAATCGATTGTTTAACAGTGAACTGAACTGCGAATTGTCTTATTCCTTACAGGTTGTAACGAGGAAAATTGTGGGGCTAAAATAAGAGGAACGTCTTCCGCTGCAGAATAGATCGAAGAAACTGTCGTATGTGCCATCACTACCACATCGAAAAAAATTGCATCTGTATCCTATTAGTTGGTTAGACACGTGAATGACATAATCAAAACAAGCGCCTTTTTTAACCATGAAATGGGATAGATTATCTTTCAACGTAACAACCTAAACCTTCGTTTCAACCAATCACATAAAAAGTTAGAACATGATTTAATAAGCTGTCCGCAGCAGCACCCATTTTTTTCTTCAATACTAATTAATTTATCGCAGTTATTTACAAAAGCAACGATCATGGTTTTTGCAATCATTTACTACACGTTCGTACTCCTCTTTGCCGCTCTAACTTATGCGAGTGTTGAAGGAAGAATACCTATGGTACCTCAACTACAGTACCTTACGGTTTTTGGTTTCTCTTTAATCTCCGAATGGCCTTTGCCTGTTATAGTTCTCAAAATTGTCCTTATAATTGTCGCTTCAATGCTTGGAGTATTCAGTAAGTTTATAAAAATCTAAGTAACCTCGATTTCCTTTCTTTCAAAGGTTTCAAACTTTTCAATATTTTCATTTCTTTATAAAACAGGAGGAATTATCCCACAACTTTTTTACATAGTTGATCTCCTAAATATGATTGGGTGTGTTCAAGGTTTTTAAATCAAATTAATTTTATGAGGTTCATGCCTACTTAATTGATAACTTATACACTTTTATTACGTATAAAGACTCGTCGTTATTTTCATTGATGCATATGAAGCAAGACGCGCCATTGAACAAGCCATTCAGTCATACTCGGATCAAAAAGAATTACCGACATTTACAAGGCATCTATAATTTTTCATAAATCAGGAGACTTTAAATGTCTTGTATTTTTAATAATTGATAATCGTTTAATCATAACTTTAGTGAAACTTTTTGGCAAAGAATGGTGAATCCACACTTTGTTCCTAAGAATGTTTTCCAATATGGCGATAGTAAGCTTTTAATTAATAATATCATTGGTTTTATTTATTAAAAATACTCGGCTGTAACGTGTCTATCGTTTTTTTTTTCAGTTAGTTATGTAGATCATAAAGAGGCATCCGATGCGAAAAAAGATGGATTTGAACAAATAACTTGTTTAACATTGGATATTTATGCTCGCAAGGATATATCCAAATCTACTCCAAAACCTGTTTTTGTGAGTAATTTTTATTCATAAGTTTTCTATGCTTTTTTTTGTTGAATATAACAATGAATTATTTTATCAAAACTGGTCCATTAGATGTTTATTCACGGGGGTGAATGGATAAGAGGAGATAAAGCATCTCCATATCCATTGATACGCCATTTGGCCGAAGTTGGTTGGGTAAATATCTTTTTGTTAAAAACTTTTTAAACTTTCGAATGTGTTTATTTACTTTTTTCATTTAGGTGGTCGTATCTGTAAATTACAGGCTCGCACCGACAACTTTGTACCCAACTCAATTGATCGATGCCAAACGAGCTCTGCGGTGGGTGAAGCTAAACATTGAGCACTTTGGTGGAGATCCAAAGTTTATAGCTGTTGCTGGTAATTTAAAAATTTATTTACATTTTCTTTATATATGTATGTAACATTGTTTAATATTATTTACTTGATTATTTGATTAAGGTGATGATGCGGGAGGTCAGATTGCCGCGGTACTCGCACTCACGCCAAATAAACGGGAATATCAAACTGGTTTCGAAGACGTTGACACATCTGTTAAAGCCTGCGTCTTGATTAATGCTATTACAGACCTTGTAGACGAACAGAAATTATGGGATTACGATATCTCGGATTATTTTTCAAAAAAAATTGCTGGACGAGGCAACAAAGATATTGCGTTTTGTAAAGAACATTCGCCGCTATATCTTATCAAAACTGATTCAGTACCATTTTTGGTGTTTCAGTAAGTTTTTTTTTTTTTTTTTTTTTAAAAGGGTTCATTCATTTGATATTAACTAATCATTTTGTTTGGAAAATAAATTAGTGGTGACCGTGACACTTTAATACCTTTCAAATCATCCATTAATTTCGTCAATGAATTTAAAAAAAGTAATTAGTAATTATTATTTGAAATTATCTGAATAGTTTCTTTATCTAATTCTCTTCAATTAATAATTCTAGAAACCAAATCGGAAATTCAATTCATTCCAATTCCGGTAAATCATTGGCCTATTTTTTTTTTCCTTTCCTTTCCTTCCCATAAAAGTTTCAATTTCTAAATTACAATGTTTATTTTAGGGAGGACACCATGTATATCATCTTTTCTCCTCTCCTCGATCGCATTATCAAGCTATTGGCGTTGAGCAATGGTTAAACCACATTTATGACGATGGAAATAATGATAAAAATGAATATGCATGGGTATCAGAGGAAAATGATTTTTCTGAATAATCTTTATTAATTTTATATTTATTTGTTGAGCATTCCATTTTTTTTTTTTTTTTTTTTTTTTTGATTATATTTGTATATACTCGATTAATATATATACACCAAATCAATGTTACAATGTCAATACATGATTTTTTTTTTTATTAACGATAAATTATAAAGCACATTTTGATTTAACAAGTCTTTGCTAATTATTGATTGAAATTACCGAATTTTTTTTATGCAATGTCCCCAATAAAATGGATCAGCAACTAGCGAGTTGCAACCAGTTGAATATAAGAATTATAGTATTGAAGTCTACAACTAGTTGCAACATAAAAGGTTGTAACCTAGGTATGCAGAAATTTTCACATCAAAGATAAAATCGTCCACGTTTTGCCTGTCAATTACATGTATATACTTGCAATAGAAAAGGGGAAACGGCTGGAAAAAATAAAAAATGTTAAACCTGTAACATATTTGATCTAAAATCATATTTGGCATATAAAAGTAAAATGGAATTTTTGCCGGTAGTTTCCCCCTTTCTATTGCAAAGGTTCCATACGTTCAATATCAAAGTCGTGTCTATATGAAAACCCTTATAGTAGTTTTTTATCGAACTTCCGATCAACCAAAATGCTATTTGTCACCCCCCATAAATTTAGTTTAGCATTCTGATTGGTTAATATAAGATAATGTTTGAATTGCCTAATTCAACGTCCTGAATTTTTTTCACTACTATTTAATTTATCTTATTACTTATTCGAAAACCTAAATATTCAATTGGAAAAGGTCGCGTCTATAGGCAGCTAAAGAAATTTCGAACCAATTTAGGCCTGCAATATGAGTACCGGCGAAGAGCAAAAGGTGTCAACTTATGGGTTAGCATGTGGCTCTACTGAATTGGGGAAAACACGAAACATATTTTTAGCGGTGTCGGCTGGCTGTGTTTACGCGATTATCGGTTTTTTTCGCTTTATAATATACATGTTTCAGGGTAAAGGTTTGTAAATTTGATCGAAACTTTAATAAAGTTTTCAAAATATTAGTTAACGCGTAATTTCTCTTGAAAACCATCATATTTAGAAGCCCCATGTATTGGATATGCCGAGCTTTTAATGAACTTTGTTTTGGACACTTTCATTGCTTTTTTAAAAGTTTACATTATAGGTCTTCTGCCAATAATAGCTCTTCGAAAAGTTCTTATACAAGAGTCAGGTACTTTTTTGTTTGTTTTTTACTTATTATATTTGTTTATCGGAAAAGGTAATGCTAATGATTAATTAATCTGATATATGCTTGTAGTGCGTCGTAATACGTCAAAATGTCTGTTAGATGAATTACGTGTCTTAATTTATAAGAAGCGTACTTATATCATCCCTTTGATATACATGATATCCTCGATCATCATAGGATGGACTTATTTTGATCTCATTGGAGTAAGTTATAAACGAACAAGAGCAATGTTTTTATATCCTGGAACTGAAGAGTAAGATAATATAATCAATTTTTTTTCCAATTATTAATATTAAGAATTAAATTTTTAATTGTTCGTTTGTATAGTTTTTGGTGTCCGAGTCATCGTAAAGACAATTGTAAAAGCCTTCCCCCTATGATTAATGAGCATTACTTGATTGCATTAATTCACACTACAATTCTCGGGATTTGGTATGGATTTGATTTCTTGTTACGTAAAAGATACATGTTATCATTTCATATAATTGAGGTAGGCAAAGTTACTAATCTAATTAAAAAGAAATAATATTAAATTTATTAAGTATAAATTTAAATTTTTTTTTTTATTCTTTATAGCCAAGATATCCTTTTTCTTTAGCGAAAGAACTTATGATATTTTGGAACCGTAAATATGAAATTTTTATATGGAGTACTCTAATGACGGCGTTGTCTTTTTCGATAATATCTTGGTTCATTAAACTTTTTATCTGGAATACAATCTATGAGTTGTTACCTAATCTTATCTTTTTACAGTAAGTTCTTGCTATTAAAATTACTGTTGATTTTCTTTCAAAGATGTCCCTTTTTCACTTATATCTATCTAACTTTTTAATTCAAAATTTAATCAAAAGTAATACCGCAGTTTATCATTGGATGCGCGCTTCTTGGTTTGATGTGCAGCTATTTAATAGAACGGTTGTTAGTGCGATTTTTATTGTTATGTGTTGGTCTATAATACACTTTTTGATAGAGCATTTTTTTACACGGGTCAGTACGAATAATTGTTTGGGTTTGGCAGCATACAAACAGAATTATAATCATATAATTGTATTCTTTCTTTTAGATACATTTTACGATAGGTGTATATATGGACCCTCATGCAATTCTTGTAGATGGATTGCATGCATACCAACAACCCTACTATCAGGTTTTTATTTTATTTATTTTATTTTTTTGTTACAGCTCGTTTTTATAAAATAAAAAAAAAAAAATTCAAAATTCAAATATCTTACAAACTATCTTGTTTCTAGCAATTGGCATTTTTGGAATTATGGCATATTGCAAAGTTCGATCAGTATAGGCGTAGTGCTATATATACAGATTTCAACCGTAAACAAGCATTTAGTTGTATCAAGCATAATAATCCCACTGACGCGTGGACAGAAATTTCGCGCTCATGTATGGATTTGATCTTTGGGCTTGCAAATTCAGCACAAGACGAAATCAAAGAGCAACAAACAAGGAAATCGTTGGTGAGAAAAAAGTATGACATGTTCAGAAACATGGAAAAAGATGCATTAAAAGAAAAGGAACGTAAAAGAGTTGGTCATAAAAATCTTGAGGTCAAGATGACAGCCGAGACAATGACTAAAGATCGGGATTATTGGGAAATGAAATTATTAGAGTGGTTCCATCCAGTGAAAGGTAATTTTCCTTATTTTACAAGGAAAATATACTCTTTTTTCATAGTTCCTTTTCTCAAAAGATCAATTGAAAGAAGAACGAAAATTGTTTTTAAAGATTTAAATATCACAATATGTGCTATACAAGGTATGTTTTTTTTTAATTAATCTTTCGTCTTTATCAATCGTTCACTAACTTTTTTTCATTTACGGCTATAAGCATTAACGGCTTTAACGGTTAAATCATTGAATGAAGATAAACATGGGATTGTTCAGAATGATACCGCCAGTGTCTTTGAGGCAATGTTAGATTGTTTAATTTCTCTCGAACGATATTCTAATGAACCACCTTTGGATGAGTGGGATGTTGGAGACCCATTTGCATTTACGTACTCTAGTGTTTTGTCTGATCCGTTAATTGTCATAAACGGTAAAGCTTTTAATATTTATCTCATGTGAAATTTAATCGTTTGAAATATCTATTTATAAAAAAAAAATTCTATTATATATAGTATTGAAGGATTCTTTGTTTGATTTAGAAAAAGCATTTTATCAACATATGGATTTTGTGAAATTATCGAGCATACATTTTGATAGGTTGAATAAGTTGCTTATCGAAAGAATTTAAAGAAAGTGAATATATATTAGTTTTTTTTTTTTAAAAAAAAAAAAAAATTAACTTGGCTTGGCTATCTGTGCATTCGTAGAATTCAAATAAACTGAGTTTAGAATATAATGTATGCATAGGTGGATCGGTTGGATGAGTTGTGAATAATGTCTTGTCTAGTTAAATGGATTTTATTTATGAATGATTAACGTTATTTGCACTATAGAGATGTCTACACTGTTTGTCACTTTGATAGCTATACCAAATCGGAGTAACAAATATTGGATAATGATGTTTAGAGCATCTTAAAGAACTCATGATTGTTGACAGAAGTTCCAAGTATCAGTTATTACTTTTCTTTTACTACCTACAATGTCAAATATGTTTTTTTCTTAAAATTTATTAATACCATTGAATGGATTGATGAAAATAAAAAATTTGTTGTGGTTTTTTATTGAATGCTATACTCAAGTCAGTTTATATAAAATAAAATATATTAACATTTAAACTTAATTTTTTAAATATTATATTCAAATTAACTTTTTAATATCAAAGCTTATATTAAAGTTTCAAAATCTTTAAATTATAATTTGATTTTCGGTTTACTAATAAAATCTATATTAGTCGAATATTTTAATTGTTTTGTAATAATTATTCATTCTTTTCTTATTATACTAAGTTTAAAAAGTTAGAGATAATAAAAAAATAAATAAAAGGAATTATATATCTCACTAAATAAAATTCTAAAATTATAATTTATACATATTAATTATAATATTCTTTACAGTAATATTAATAAAAAATAGCTTTATTTTTTTTTTTTAATTAATATTAATAATCTAATATTGAGAATAAGTAGGACAAATATGGGGGTTCTGGGGTCAGAATTCGAAATTATATTCAAGAAGATCCCCAATCATATTTTCAAAGCCTTCTAGCTATACGAATCCTCTATTGAATTTAAAGCTCTAACCCAAATTTAAGCTTTTCTCGTTATCCAAATATTTGGTATCAATTTTGGTATTAAATTACCCCATAAGATACTAAGAATAAAACAATCTCTTATAGCCTTTCTAGCCCAATTTTAATTCTAAATAATATATCAAAAAAAATATACCTTTCTATTTGGGTTCGAGATGAGGCGAGATTAGCAAGAACCAAAGGTTCAAAGCTAAGCTCGTGGAGTCTCTGCAAACCTTCTATGTATAA